GCCAAAAGGAGTTTCTGACTGGTTACCTGCTGAAGAAACACATGGAGGTTCATGTCAGTGAGAGGAGATATAAGTGCGGTGAGTGTGGCAAGCTGTACAAAACTGTTGGGCATGTACGTGAGCACATGAGGGCCCACTCGGATGAAAGACCCTACCACTGTGCCAGATGCAACAAAGGATACAAGACCAAGGTGATTTGAGTGTAATTTACCAGTGTTGATGTGAATTTTCAGCTGTAACTTCATTGTTTAATTTTCCCTCACTAATATTTAATTCAGACATAAAAGGCATATAATGTCTAACGTACCTCTTTTTCTTGCTCAGAATGCCTTGCAGGTTCATCAGCGGACTCATGGTGATGAGAAACCCTATGTGTGTCAGTTCTGCCACAGAGGCTTCAGGGAGAAAGGTTCTCTGGTGCGCCATATCCGCCACCACACCGGAGAGAAGCCTTTCAAATGCCCAAAGTGTGGACGGGGCTTTGCTGAGCACGGGACCCTCAATCGACATATGCGTGCTAAAGGTCAGTGTGATTTAGAGAAATCAAAACAAACCAGTAAATTGACCCTTGTGTTGTTGGCATCTCCCGCAAATGACATTAACAGACCGTAAAGCAAACGCTGGTTTTGATTTCCACCAGGCGGCTGCCACAAGGAAGATTCCAGTGAGCAGCAGGGTGAGGTGACAGAGGAGCAGGCGTCAGTGGACAGCCTCGCTACGGCAGCCATCATCTCAGACGACCCTCATGCTGTCCTGGTGGAGTTCTCCTCTGTGGTGGCAGACACACAGGAGTATATCATCAAGGTGAGAGCCACAGGGGATTAGAGAAAGTGTAGTTTCTTCTCTCACATCACAACTATTGGGTGGGGAAAAACAACACTGAGAAGACTGCTGATGGACTGCTGTCTGTGAGTTCAAACTTTGAAGCATGGTGCACATCTGTCCACACCCAACCAGTGGTATCGCAGCAGGTATCTTCTATTAGCAGTCAATAGCAGAATATGTGCTGCTACATCACTGATTGGAGTGCAAAACAATTTCACTCTTCACTCAGGACAAAATGATCAAATCTGCGGGGATTTGATTGGGTTGCTGATTACAACCAGTCACTCAGCTCTTTCCTCTGCCAAGTTCAGGGACCTCTAGATTTGAACACTACATTTCAGGCCCATCAGAGACAAGATAACTTGATTGCTGATAGTTTGAATTGCAACTGACATTTCACTTGTTTACACAGAAAGAGAGTGGAAGGTGAGATTGTCAATATCAGATAGCTGCTCAAGAATAATTTATTTGCATGGTGAAAATACAGTTTTGGAGGCAGGAGGAGCCAGTAGTCAGAGCTGCTGCTGACATAATATGTAGATATTGGAGCTGTGAGGAAACTATTTTTTATAGAAATAGTATTTAAAAAATGATGGTCTTCAGCTCAGTCTTATTGGAGAAACAAAAGACGCAAAGAAAATACCCTGCTTTTTCTTTGTTTTAATTGAAGAAATATTTAAGCATTTGTTAGCTATGATTGAAAGTTGCACAGCTACTCCTAAACCCTCGGATTAACATAACATTAACATAAATCACTAGAAGCTGTTATGGGCAGCAACTAAATTTGCAGGCATTTCTTCTTCTTGAAAGCATTCAATCCGTAAAAACAAAAACAGGAAGGAAACACAAGAAGGATACCCCAAAGCTCTCTTTCCTAAAGAAAACTGCCTGTGCAGACAAATGGTCTAAACTAATATAAAACTAAATCTTACCAGTGTGTAGGTGTTGTCCCTGGCTGCAGGAAACAATGGGTTTGAGGTTATTGACCCTAGAAGCAGCTTCAAACGAACCCAAATGCTTCTCATAGCATATTCTATCTGGCTGAAAATGAGGCTAGATCTGAAACATTTTGCTATTTACGATTAATGTAAGTTACTTATAGAATGAGTCTTAAGCACAGAAAATTAAACATTTCCATCTTTGACAACATGCTTAAACTTTTTTTCAAAAAGTTTCATAAATGTCTTAATACAGTAATGAAGTGTTTTGCTGAATGCAGTAAGACAATGCTTTGTCATTCCTAGCTATATTTACTTCAAGTGATTGTTAATTAAATACACTTCATCAGTTCTGGGTGCAATATACTGCCAGCTTTTGTTATTCATTTTTATCTGTTCCTCTCATCTTCTCCAGACTCAAACAGAGGAGGAAGTACAGGAAGAAGAGGTTACACTCATTCAAGACGGTCAAAATGAGGTCAGTATACATAAGCACATGGAACACACACACACACACACACACACACACACACACACACACACACACACACACACACACACACACACACACACACACACCACCATAAATGAGAACATCTACAGTAGAAGCAGAATGTGAGAATCTCAGTATTTCCAGTTCAGGTTGATGACCATATAAAGTTTAACTGTTACAGTAAAGGATCTAAAATAGATAACTTATTCATTTTAGTTGTATTTGTGTTATCTAAAAACTAACCATTTATATCAAATCTCTCACTGCCAGATGGGAAACCACATCATGAAAGTGGTGCAGCGGATTGTCAGCCAGTCACATGGTGCCGGTGGCACGGGCAGCCACCAGATCATTGTGCGTAACGTGGGGGCGAACGAGGAGGGCCCGTCCATCTCTGACTGCGGTGACACCATCACCATTGCTACACCTGAGAGCTTGACGGAGCAGGTGGCCATGACGCTGGCCTCCGCCATCAGTGATGGCACACTGCTGGCCACGGCGGGCACCGTGGAGACGGCAGACGGAACAGTTACCATGGTTACCACAGAGGAAGCAGTAGAGGAGGGAATTCAGATGGTGCAGCAGCAGGAGGAATATGTCATCACCTCCCCAGAGGAGGTGGAGATTCAGACTGTCATAGTATGATGGAACTAATAATGGGCTGAAACGGATTTGGCTTGACTGCACCTGTGTAGCCGATTACTGTAGAGTCTGTATAAGCATCATGTGTGATATTCAGTTACAAAACAAAGGCCAAAGTGTTTATAACGTTTATAGATACAGTAATAGAAAAACCTCAATATGAAGTGTGCACAAGGACTAGTTCTATTAAGTGTTTGATTTCTGTTGATTGGTTACTGAAAGGAAGCACTGCATTCAGTATGTTAGCTAATTAATGAACCTTTAGGTGCATACAGTTTAAAATTTTTTGAGGTTTTCATTCTGAAGGCCTGAACAATTATATTTCATTATACTTTATGTTACATACGTGAAATTCCATTTTCTTTTAATACCTAAATCGGCATCATTTCATGGCAGTTTCCACTTGTGCTCTCTGATGTCGGGGTCGGCTACAGTCATGTTTTTAAACTCTAAATCTCCAGTTTGAATTGTGGTGCCCTTTAAAGGCAGACCGATCAAAAATTGTCCCTGTGTTCCTGCCTGTCTGATGCCATTAAGGGACACGTTGAATTTCTCATGACAGTGTTGCAGTTCTGAGCTGGTAAATCATAATGCATCTTTTAAGCATGACAGATACACCGGATATCAGACATGAAAATGTGATCAGTTTACTCAAGCAGGCGTTTGCATCAAATAAATGCTATTTTCTTATACAGTTGACTTCGGGTTATCTTTGTTTATACCGTGTTTGTCTAAGCGCTGACTGTCTGACCTTTCAGTATGTGACTATTTAGTACACTAATTAGAATTCATATTTGCAAACGTTTGTTTTTTACAAAGTCCTTTATGTCTTTGAAATGATTTTGACAGAGAAGGAAAAAAAAAACAAACCTTAACATTTGTTGTTAATGCAAATGTTTCTTTGTACCAAATTGCTCACCAGAATGTTTTCAATGAAAATGATTTATTGTAGCCTACTGTACTGTAATAATCTCCCTATTACACAAATGTTTATCTGTGTCCTGATGATATCTGGTTGTTCCCAATCCACTTAATCATAGTTGTATTTCCACAAAGTCCCCCCAACTTTAGTGAAAAATGCTTGGATATTCCCCCTTTTCTTTCCTATGTTGTTATGCTAAGTTTATTTGGTATTTGATTTTTTGTCATTTGGTGTTGCTGTCTTATTTCGTTTCATCTTTGTTTTTAGAAGTGTGTGGTTGCGGTGTGCATGTCATCTACCACCTCATCATGGGAATGCCACCTGCTTTGAAAGCGCACACCCCTGCCAGGTAAAACACAGCATCCACTGCTCCAACTCCCTCTGGGACTCATGGCTACTTCATTAGGCCTGTACCAAGTGGTGCAAGGCAAAACCAAGTCATTTGTGTAATCTTGCATTAGTATTTGAATTCCTATGCTAAATTCACCATAGCTGATTGACTTGGCTGAAACACTGCTGTACTTGGTGTGTGTAACCTTGAGCATATCTGCAGGCTACATCTCTGTAACTGGTGCTCCAGTACTGAGGTTAACACGGACGCTATAATCAGAGAAGTGTCCCTGGCTGGTACAACATAGAGTTTCTGGGTCACTCCTCAGCCCTCTGAGAGGGCCCCATCCACACGAGCGACAGAGGGAGACGGAGAGAGAGGGTTGGAGAGAAAGAGAGAGAGAGAGCGAGGGAAAGGTATTTATAGAAAAATGGGGCTTCGCAGTACCTTTTCTTGCAAAGAACCATTTCAGGACCAAGTGAGTGTGTCCCAGTTTTCTGATCATCGCTCAGCCATAGGGTTGGGACTGAGGCTGAGGCTGGACTGCCTCATCCAGGATGGAGAGCCTGTCTTACAGACGCTCTCCTCTCTCCTCCGGCCTCCCTCTCCTGAGCTACAGACTGCTGGTTCTCTGATTAAGAACAGGGGGAGGCATTGGCCTATATAACCTACAGATGTGACCTTTTAGGTACACTTTATTTGCCTAGCTGGGTAGAGGCTTTTGGAGGCAGTGAGCTCAGGTGAGGAGCAGCACAAAGGTGTCCGAGGGCACTCTTTGGCTGCGTCTACCCCCAGGCCGGGGGTGAAGGGAGGCTGGCTGGAACGTGCCCTGCCGCAAGCCGGGCAAGGATGAGGCGTTTCCTGAGCAGAAAGGGCCGCTTCTCCCTGCGCCAGAGCAAGTCCGGGACCCGGAGTGCCTCCAAAGATTTCTGTAAGTCTTATTTCTCTGAATCATCATTTTTACATGATGTTCCTGAACTGCTTCATCTGCTGGAGGTAAAGCTTAAGTGTCACAGAGAGCTAGAAGGAGCTAAAAGATGAGATTGTGTATCTGGGTCGCAGGCTGGAGAGAACAGGACAAAAAGAAGTCTTGACAGTCCTCTGAGTGCTGCTTGTGTTCTGGTTGGGAGAAAAGACTATGATCCACAGCTCTATGTCAGTGATTTCCCAATCTATTTTAGATCAGTAATCGGCTACAGTTTGATGTTTCCATTCAGCTGGCTCAACCAAGTTCTGTGGCTCTTTGAGTCTTTGGATTTGATATGTTTTATTCACTCAGCCACATCTCACCCTGAATATTTAGCCCTGTGCTCCAGTAAGATCTGAATTGTCTTTTTCTGAAGCAGATCTGACATTTCTACATTTCTTGGCAAAGTCTTGTACAGACTTTTATTTTCACACTTCTCGTGCACTTTTTTTTTTATTTTTTTACTTTTCTTACTTTCTGTCTCTAATTTAGTCTCTCTGCATCCGTCTTACTTTCCCTGACTCCCATCTTTCGCTGCCTCTGATTGTTTACAAAAAGAGAAACAGCGGTTTAGTGCCGGTGGATTGATAGATGATTGTGTAAAATTACTTGTGTAGCTTCAGTTTTACAATATATATTTTTTTTAAATTCTGCTCCTTAAGCTTGTGTCATCATATGATGAGACTTGATGATAATTGATGATTGGGAGTGCCAGTGCTGCCTTGAGACAAACATGCTGTATTAGATAATTTATATTTCAGGTATATTTTGGCAGAGGAATCTAACATAAATGAAAACGGTAGATTGGCTTAAGTTTATAATACTGCCATATCATTAAGTAGCCTTGTAATATAAATGCGCAATGTGTGAAGACCAAGAGCACAGTGCAATGAGATTAGAAAATAAGATTAATTTAAAACCAAGGGCGAGTATAAGTGCTCAAAATGTAGATTTTCAGTTTATGATCTAGAATATGGGGCAAGGTTGCAGTGCTTGGTGAGAGATCTTTAACAGAAAAGGTCATTAAGTGGACGAACTGATCCCTATAATGCCCTACATATATCTTTGATGTATCCAGATGGTTGTAGATCAGAGGAAATCAATTCAAATGAGCCTTTTGGGAATCTTTCTGCTGCAGCAGAATGAGGCCAGTGACCAGGGGAAGGGCAGCAGTTCAACATGTGGGCTTGATACCAACAGTCAAAAATAACTCCCTCCACTCTCTCATATTTTCCTTTGGCTGTCATTCAACTTACAGAAAAACAAATCTGTCTGTAACAATTCTGTTTGTAAATGCTTTTTGAATCTTCAATATGTGTCCTCATATTTGTGGCCTCATTAAAAAGACCAGTGTACCTGCTGCGACAGCTCGGCTGCTCCATCACCGAGGTGCCCTATTTAAACCAATGGACCATTTGACCTTCATTTTACAGTCACAACCTGCTCGTCTATATGAGCATCTTGCTCAAGAATATGACCCGCGAATCCTACAAGCAGTAAAACAGCTGTGGTTTCAGGTTTCACCTCCTCATGAAAGATGACTACCTTCTATATTAAAGTCTAAACTGATATACCAATTTGACTGCCCTTTGAAGCTGAATTTGTACCTTGTTAATATACAAATGCCTTCCAGAAACATGCCTATTACAGCAGCTAATTACAGCACCTCTATTAATTTGAACCCCTCCCAAGTTTTATCTTTCCATCCATCCTCCAGACCTCGGTCTCCCAGCCACCAATCAGAACTGGCCAGAGGCGTTTGGTTTCCGGCTGGGTGGCACTGGGCCCAGCTACATCTTATCCGTGGTGGAGGGCAGTAGCGCCTACCTGGCTGGCCTGCAGCCCGGGGACCAGGTGGTGGACATCGAGGGCCAGGATGTGACCAACCTCAGCACACCGGCGCTAATCGCCCTGGCTCAAACCCTCAAGACTGTCCCACCTAGCATCGGAGTGGTGTCACGGATTGAACAGGTCAGCCAACACACAATAATCTGCATTTTTTGTTTTTAAATTGGTGGAAAATCCCTGAAATTGAAAATAACTTTGAAACATCCTTTTTTCCCCTTCTTTAGATTGACATCACCCCTGGCCCTGATGGCCGTTTCGGATTCACCATCGTTGGAGACAGCCCTCTGATGGTGGAGGACTGCATGCCCAACGGTCCCGCCGGTCGCAGTGGCCTGAAGGCTGGGGACTACGTCATGGAGGTCAACGGCATCCCAGTGAAGCATCACGAAACAGCAGCGGCCATGATCAAAGCAGCTCAGGGCCGACCTCTGCGTCTGGGCGTGCTCAGTATGGCCCGGCGACCCAAGCGGCTGAGCAGCAGCATGAGGGTGCTGTCACAGAGCGGGGACAGTGTCAGGGAGAGTCGCGCCCACAAGGCCATGGAGTTCAATAAGAAGGTGAATGTGAAATATATGTTTACTTCTTAGAGTATTTTTTTATGTGATTGCTGTGTTTTCATCTGTAGTAATCAATGTTTGTGTGTTTATTCGTCTATCAGGTGGAGGAAGTGCTAGGAGAGGAGCCAGATGTGAAGGAACAGCTGTTTGAGGTCCTGAAGCAGTACGCCGCTGAGAGGGATGTGGAGAGTCTGGCCGAGGCCCTGCCTGATATCCTGATCACGGAGGAGCATCAGCAGCTGATTGACAGCGTCAGGTAGCCAATCAGCTGCACATACACATTCAGAGAGAGACCTGCAGGTCAAACACGTCTCTGTGCGTGTTGTGTGTTCCTTGTTTACGGCCTCCTGCAAACGACTGGATTTCCACATCACTTAACTGTAAAATATTAACAAAACAAGCGAGCACAGTTCATTAACAGCCCAGTAACACATTCCAACTAATCCAAAATGTGTGTCTCAATAAATGATTAACCTTTTTTGAAATATAGAAAAATCCTTTCAATTCAGTGGCGTACAATCACCCTCCATAGGAGAGCTGAATTACGAAAAGGCCAACTGAAATCCACAGTAATATGAGGCCCTGACTTTACTGTACATTTTCAGTTCTTTTCCCATAATCCTTGATTTTGAGAAGGCTTGTAAAAGTGCACACAAGGGACTGTTATAGTCCATTGTGTTGTATATACAGTTCAGCTACAGGATTCACTGTACAGCACACGCTTACATAACAATAGGACCACAGCGAGGGAGGAAAAACTCCTTAATTGCCCCATGAAATCAATATTTTAGAAACTCCCCCTCTCAGCAATTTCCTGTGAAATATGCCAGAGGTGTACATCAAGTGCACATATGAATTTCTTTGATCTGATGTCAAGCACTGACTGCTGCCCTCCGGTGCTCGAATGTCACTTTGTTCTGTTTCTCCTCTCTCAGGTAAAGTACATGGGGGTACGGTTAGAAATTCACCGCCGAATATTACATTTCTCCCTCCTCAGCATTGATCGGAAAATCAAAACCCAAAACACAATACCTCTGCACACATTCGCAAATTTTTTCTGCCAGTCCCCTCTCCCCCGCCTTCTGTCTTTTCCTCTCACTTGCTCTCACTTTGACTTTCTCTCTGTCTGTCCCTTTCTTTCCCAACTCTCCCTGTCAGCTGTGATACACTCTTTGATATACGCACAATATTTTTTTTTTTTTTTGTAGATCACATCACTGGATGCTTTTTATTCCCTCCTCTGCATACAGCTTGTAGCTGCTACAGACAGTTTGCTGCTGGTGGTTGAGATATGCACACATGCGAAAACGGAAAAACATGCAGATTCTTAGACTGCATGCACACAGCACTGTTTCTCACACACACATGCACACTGTCCCTGCTTTGAAGTTTTATGCTGGAAGAAATTATGAACTGCTGCCTCAGGTGAGTACTGAAAAACTGTTTGGAATTGTGCATTTGCAGATTTTCTAACAGTTGCAGCATTTAACCGGTGATCAGGTTTGGTGTCAAAGCGTCTTACGTGGCCACCTATGATTGGTCATGAAGTGAGCAGTGGTGGAGTTAAAGTATTCTATACTATCAGTCTTTTTACAGTCAATTAGCGTTCAGTTCCGCCAGTGACTCATTTTTGGTGAGTAATCCTTTTTCCCTCCAGCTGAAAAACAAAAATGTTGTCCAGCCATGTCAGTTTGCTCCGACACAGCTGTCGGGACCACAGCTTTGATAGCACATTTCCTTCCTTAGAAAGCTGCCTGTAAAAATGCTTTGTAATGTTTGTATGGTACAGGAGTGCCATTAATTATGCATTAGCTGTATCCATGGAGGACTGAGAACTGTTTTTAGTTGCTTTCCTCACCTTTAGGCAGTGAGAAAGTACAGTAACTCTCCCAATATGAGTCTGAATCAGCCTTTTAGATAAATCAACTGTATCTTCAGATAGCTGAAATTACCCATAGTTCCATCCTGGTAGTTCATGTGTGCTTTGACCTTGAAAGGCTTTGATATGCAAAGTTTCCCCTCTTTTCTCTGTGTCTCTGCCTGCAGTGTTTGTGCTGTAATTTTGTGCAACAATATGTATCTTTTTTGCCAATTAGACTGCTTAAATCTCGCAGGGTGTTGTTGAGTTTGTAATCTCTGGAAAGGGCTAAAAAGTATTATTTATATTCCATCTTTTTGAAAAGCTTGTAATGTTTTTCAGCAGAATCTGGTGATCATATCTGTGGTAGGAGCCTTGGGGAGTTTTGACTCCAGGTTCTCCGTGGACAATGCCTCAGGGTGGTGTTTCTGTAAATGGCTGCTGCTGACAATGAGATGTCTCCGGCAACTGAGAAAAGATGTAATGTGGATGTACTCTGTTCTTGGGGAAATGGTTTGTTGATGATATTTTTAATAGGTTTGTTTCAAGGCTAAATTTCCAGTTTTTTAGAGGCGCTCCAGGGATGGCAGTACTGGTTTGATGGTCAGTCAGGCGGAGATATCTCAAATATTGCACAGATTGCCATGAAATGTTGCACTGACATTCATGGTCCCCAGAGAGTGAAGCCCTCCTAATGTAGTGATTCCATGATTTTTCCATCTAGTGCCAGATCTAGTCAACTTTGCACTTACCCTGAGAAATATCTCAACAACTTCTTGATGAATCGGCACAAATTTTGGTACATGACATTACCCAGATGATGAATGCTAATGATGATGGTGATCCCCTGACCTTTCCTATGAGGTTGTCATTTGTGGTTTTAAGTGAAATGTCTCGACAACTGCTGGATGGATTTTTGATTAAATTTAGTACACACACTCAGGGTGAGTAACTTTGGTGATCCCTTAATTTTTCATTTAGCACCATCATTAGGTCAGACCTTAAATTAGTCAAATTCTTTGGTTTATGACCAAATAACTTTAAAACTAATGACATCAGCTTCAGGTTTATTTGTCTCTGGTGTTACTTAGGAAGTGCTCATGTGCTAGCATGTTAAACTAGTCTAGCACAAAGTGAGAGCTAGTCTGAATATGTCGATATTGATTGTGTAATTTCTTTATTGTGTCTATTTCAATTCACTGGTTGCCCTCTTTCCTAATCACAGTTGTGCATCTAGCCTCCCTGCAGGAACACCGGCCATTGATTATGAGATTTAAGAAACCAGACCAGAAAATGTCATATGAAAGATTGTTGGCGTGCTTTATCATGAGCTGTGTGCCAGTGTTGACATTTGAGGTGTGGAGAATCGATGTGTCTGATCTCCCGATCTGTCAGACCTCAATCACTGTCACACACACTCTCCACCCTACCTACCTGAGTCTAATAATTAGGGGTTGTGTGAGAGGATGCGAGGTGTGCTTAACAGAAGTTCTTTTTTCTGTGCGCCTTGTAAAACTTGACCAGCTGGGCCACTCTCTGCTCAGTCTGCCTCTGTCCCCTCACCGATTTGCCTCGCCCTCCCACAGGATGTGTTCTATTTTTAAGCAGCCTATTTCTTTTAATAAATTCTCTCTTAGGTTTCTGACGCAGTCGCCGGTGTCGATTCTTAAATGGCTCCTAAACCCAGGGGTTAGCAAGTGCTTGAACACTTGAAAGTTATGTGAAAGATTATGTTTCTGGAGTCATTAGAGACAACCTTGGAACACCTATTAGCTCTTTTGTTCATGGGGCTCTGTGGTTCTGTGGTAATTGAATGTAATTATAGTGAATTGTAGGCCTTTGATACTGTATCTGTAGATTTCAGAGCTGTGAATTAATTAGACTGATACATTGCCTACCCAGGGTTTGGGATGCAGTGCAGTTTTTTTCTTTAGTGTTTGAATGGCAGTGTGTTTCTGATTTTTATACATGTTTTATGAATTGGTGAAGTTGCTTTGGGCTGGAGGTGTGTTTACAGAGATTTGGATGGATGCTGTCATACAAGCAGAAATTAGTTACCAGTTGTGTGGAGCATGTGTCATACAGACATGACTGTCAGCTTCTGCAGGTTCACCTATGCACATTGTTGCTTCTTACACACACACACACACACACACACACACACACACACACACACACACTCATTGTGCTGACCTGCCTATAAAATTCCACTGGGGCTCTCCTCTCTTCTCTATTTCTCTCCTCTCTCCCTCCTCACTTACTCCTGTTCATCTCATTCTTTCCTCCTTCCTCCACTGAGGGAAGAGATGATTTGTCACTCACTACCTTGTACTGCCAAATGATGGACGACTGAGTGACGAGGACTGTCCTGTAGCTGTGACTGAGAGGATCAACCTGTGGTGACCTTGACCCTGGCTTCTTTGGTACCTGAAGAACAAGGGAATACACGATGGGGACAAGGGAAGAGTGCTACCCCAAACATGAAGTTGGAGAACAGCTGATGATGCTGCCTGAGGATGTTTTGGAGGTGTGGAGGGATGTGAACCACAGCCACTCTTGCAGTTTGCTCCCTCCCTCTCTCTCATTCTCTCTCTTTCTTCATCTGGCTGCTTTCCGAGTCTGCAGCAAGCGCCTTTGAGATCCAGGACACTTTCTTATTCTTCATCTTTCTCTTCTTTCCCCTTTGTCCGGGAGAGTTGTTTGTTCAAACTAGATGGGGACTCACCGAGATAGAGGGGAGGCATTTGCATTGCTTAACTGAGCTCAGGCACTTCCTCAAAGCCCCGAAGAGCCATGGGAAGGGATAGGAGCCTTTCCAGACACTTTCGGTATGGCACTTTTCCTTTGATCTCAGCAGCAGTGTTCGCTGTGCTTTATGTTGTTTGTGCTGACTTGTATCTGAAGTTGCTGAAGTGTTGTTGTGCAACTTCTCTCTATGTGTTTGTTATCAAAGTTTGTATTGATGATTATTTTACACCTTTTGAACATCGGTGCTGTATCTAAATTTGACTAAAGGATGGGAGACATGATGAGAAAACTGTAGATTCTAGCAAAACTCAACTTTACTGCTACTCATAATTCTTTCATGTTATTTCCTTGTTTCTGAGGCTTTTTAATTCCACTCTGTGATTAAACCCCACTGTGTCTCAAGCTATGCTTTGCATCTGCAAATTTGTACTTGGCCCAGCTGTCAAATTGGCTGATCAGAAGTGGGTCTGATAATAATGGTTTTTGCAATGAGTTTCCAAGTTGATTGCAGTTGTCATTCATCTCTCTGTGTGCTGTGTCCTTGATCCACCCCTCCTTTGGACCTAATTATAGACTCCTCTCGCCCTCCTTATAATTGAGGGCATCCCAAGGCCTACATCCAACTTCAATGGAGGAGGCTGTGAAGTTTCTGCTCACATGTTTTGGCCGGGTTACAAGATTTGACAAGTGAAATATTCTTTCTCTCGTAACATGAGTACAGTCAGACCAAGCTAGTGAGTAGTTGGGGGTGATGAAGGGAACGCAAGTCAATAGTTGATAAAATGAAATAGAGCCAAAGACTGCTATAAAAGAGTAAACGTCCCCATTCTGTTTCGTTTTCCCTATCCCCCATTTTTCTGAGCATCCATGGTGATGTATGAGTGTTGTTTGGGAAAGTTCTGTGGCCTACATAGCCTACAGATTACCCAGCTTCATTCCCAGTAGTTTCATGACCCTGGCCTAGAAACAGCTCTAGTTCTCCACTTTCTCTCTCTGGCTCCATCATATTTTACTCCTTGTATCTTCTTATTGGCTTTTTGTGCCATTCTTCACATCAATTCATTGACTGTGTCTGCTTGTCAGGCTGTCTCTCACCAACTTCTGTCTCAGTCTCTCTCTCTTTCTTTCTATTTTCTACTATTTTATATATTCATGGTACGTCTCTAACTATAATCACCCTACTTCTCTTCTTGCTATAGAAAATGACCCTTTAGATAGCACCACAGAGCAGCCTGGTATCGCAGATGAGCACAGTGTAGCCCTCAGGTGAAATGTTGATTTTTTTTTTTTTTTTTTTTTTTTTTTTTTTCTTGCTGCATGAACACACCATGCACTTAATCACTGTCACCTAGATACTCTTATTCCCTTGGATTTATGGATGCCTCTATAGTAAGCACATTAAACAGTGCCTATAGAGAAGATTGTCCTTTCATGACAAGAAGAACACTGAGTGACCAGGGTTGTACTGACACATTTCCACACACAGACGCACATGCACAGTCTCTGCAGCTTTTACAAAGGAAGGAAACTTCTCCTAATTTTATCAATAGTTGTAGGAGACAATGAATCAAGTTGAACTATCATTTCTTGGTTTTCATCATAGCACAAGACATCACATCTGCTTTGTCATTATGCAATAGTAAAACCATCCATTTGTGTATGTTCGCAATACTGTGTAAGTGTATTAATAGGACCGTGTTTATTTAAGGCCAGAGACATAGTGTATATGATTGTGTATCAATTTAACTGTGTTGATGCACTGTTTCCTTATGTTTGGTCTGAGTTTAGCATAGCGGTGAAATAAAAGAGGGTCAATAATTGAGCCCTGTGGAACTAGAGGGGCATACTTGTAATACACTACAAGTAATAGTGTGATTGGTAGTTTTGGTTGCAGAGCTGAGATCAGAATACAGTGTCCAGATGATTGAAGTGTCTAATTTGGGCTGTTTCTTTTCTGTGGCGAGGATGATTGTAGATAACTTAGATTAGTGACATTATTTATTTGTTATGTAGCCAGTTGTTGCTGTAAGACTGTGGGAAGGTCATACTGTACTATTGCTGCAGTGCTATTGTCTTTTTATCGTTTGGGACAATTACACTTGCAATATATTGCCATAAATAAGATGTAAGTGTGTCGTGCTATTATTTCACAAAAGCTTGATTTGTCTTAAATATCTCTAACATTACTGAAAATGATGACTGTATTGAATTCATTAGCTTTATGTATGATGAACACAGAAATTTAGATGTGATTAGTTGCAAGGGGTTTATCTTGGATTTACAGCCTTAGAATCTATGACCTGATTCATAAAAGTTTGTATTGGATCAATGTGAGGTTGTCTGGGATAGCTGTAATCACAGGCTTGTTTTGTGTGTGTGTGTGTGTGTGTGTGTGTGTGTGTGTGTGTGTGTGTGTGTGTGTGTGTGTGAGAGTGTGCAAATGGTTGCATAAGCCTGTGAACTTCAGTGAGTCAAAATTCTGTCTAGGTAAGAAAACTCCAGAGTGGAAATAATCCGTTAGCTTCCCTCAACTTTGGATTGCAAATTATTGGTGTGGAAGCAGTACGGGTTATGCATCACTCTTAATTCAAATCCAAAACTTGCTGTACGTTTTTATGAAACTATCAAATACAGAATCCTCTAATCATGGCCTCCTAACAGTGTTCCCAAATGTACCTGCAAAGGGACTGCAACAGCTTTGAAAACCTAACTGTACCGCTGTGCCTTATTCCCAACAGTGGCGTTTGAGCAAGGAGTTCTACTCTGTATATAGATGCACATTAGAACTTGTGCACTCTATAAAACCAAAACACTCTTTTCTCCTCTGCACAGTGGAAGCACCCAGGAGATTCATGTTGAAGACAGAGAGGTAGAGAGAGGTTTGTCTCGAAGATGGAGGCATCATCATTTTGTTGATGGGATGGGGAGGCAGATATGCAAAAGAGAAAAAGGTGTGTGTATACGCTATGCATGTGAGATGGAGGTTTGCTTTTGTATGTGCATTTAGAACTGCAGATAAAAGAGAAAGAAATGGGGGGAAGGTGTCCTACATTTAAAGGAAAAACACACCCAAAATACTTTTTAAAACAGTTACTGGCAATGTTTCTTACATTTCTGGGTCATTTCTGTTGTTTTGTTTTGTATTTTTCTTGTTCTCGCACATAATTGGCCAAAAATAAACTGCATGCAGCAGACAACAGAGCTACAAGACAGTTTAATGGGACTAGACGTTTTGAGCAGTCTGAAACATCAGGGGTGTATGTCAGGTTTGAGTGTTAATTCGGGGAAACAAAAGCCTTCTTTCTTTAAAATTTTTTGCTGATGCTGAAAACCACACAAAAGAGAAATCTGTCATTGAAGAGGCAGCAATACCAATTTTGCCACCAAGCCTCAGACAGTGTGTGCATCTGAAATACAACTCTTCTTACACAAGTTTGATGCAGAATTTGAACAAGCAGTTATAGCCGACACTACTTTTTCTTTCTCCAATCTTCAATTTATTGACAGGACACTGTCTTTCTCATCTATATATATATATATGCAGCACACAAAACAGACTAGAGGAAAGTGGCTCACAAATCCTCCCCTGGAACACACTAGATACCACAAATTCATATCTAAGAGTATCCCAGGGTGGGTTTTTTTCCTTTAAGAAAGAAAAGGCAGTGAGAGTTGATAATGGGAGGGGAAAATAACACTAGTAGAGGGAGTGGAGCGCTTTTTCCCAGAGGTAGCTCTGGCACTGTGCTTCCTCCTTTTCGCATATTAGCTGTGAGCTGTCACTGATACTGAACACTCTTACCTGCAGCTGCTGATGTGACAGGACCACACAACAAAGCTCATCCCTTATCGCTTTCATTCTCTCTCTCTCTCTCTCTCTCTCTCTCTCTCTCTCTCTCTCTCTCTCCAACACACACACACACACACACGCGTGCGCACACCCACTACCAGAAAAACACACACAAACTAATGCTGGACCAGTCTCTTCTTCTCCCTGCCTCGGCCCTCCCATGAGGCAATATGGGCTGAACTATTTTTAAACCAATTAAGTGGATCCTGCAGCTGGAACAATACGTAATCAGACCAAGAATCCCTAGGTTTTTTTTTTTTTTTTTGGAGGCTTTGGACGATGGAGGCTTTGAGTGATCAGAATAAAGAGTCTTGGATTTGTTGGATTTCGGCTGAAATTGCTGCTTTGATGTGATTTTGTTTAGTTGCTGTGTTCTTATGTAAATGATCTTTACACAAGAGAAGCTGAACTGGAAGCTGCTCCACATCTGCTTTCTGATAGAGATTTTCTAGTCAATCTGAGGTTGACTCTGATTGCACAATGTTTGCCAGGATCTTCATTCCCAAGAAGCACCGGGAGCGTTTTGACGAGGTGGTTTCCCAGAGCCTGATGAGCCGGCTCAAGGGGCGGAGCTTCAGTGACCCTAGCCGTAACCGCCTTCGCCGCAGCCGGAGTGAGGATCACCCTGAACGCCTTCTGGTCTCCACCCGCGCCAGCTCAGTGCCACGCACCCACGCAGAGGAAGGCGTGGTCCCCCCCGCCCGCGGCATGCGAAAGACCACCTCACTCATAGCCGGCCACTCCAGTGGCACCACCACCAACTGCAGGTCTGTGTTAAGTGTCATGTTGCCGCCTTACCCAGTGATAGGTGCCAGCCTAGGTTTTTATTTGACAGTGTTTTCTCTGCTCATCCTCTCTGTATGTTGTGGCCTTCCATCAGCAGGAGTCACAGCGTTTGTTTCAGCAACAATGTGCATGTCATTTTTAGTTTTCCAAGAAAACCCTTTTCCTGAAATAATATTTTTTCTCCCCCTGTCTGATCAAATTTATAACCACTCCCCACAAGAACTACCGTGACAGGTTTTTTAGTGTAAGCATGGAATTTTTGGAAACTAAGATATGTAGGAGTGAACTGAAAAATAGACCCATCAGTACTAAAGCCAGTGGGAGTGTAAACCTATTTGGACTAGTCATGCCTGATCTCCTGCTCTCTTTGTCTGCGGTCATGTTGTTTCCTGACGTGTCTTCATGAACTGATGTTTTCCCGTCTGCTTAGATCCTGATCAGAATCATCAGGAGTTTAAAACATTCAAAATAAGTAAGCAACATCATCGCAAACATCCTGTCACCATCCCTTTATATTGTAGGAATAAAGTGCCCCAAGAATCTGCTGAATTCTTCGGTGGCTCTAGCTTATTAAGATGTTATACGCTCCCTGGGGATGTATTGTCCATATTTAAGTAGGGTTGTTCGTGCAGGATGTGAATTTAAAGTAGTCTGCATAATATGGAAATCCACAGGAGAGCCACAATGTCAGTCCACATGTTTCAGGATGGGCAGAAGAACTTGTCAATTAAATTACTGATCTCTTTGAAGTTGTCCTTTTCAACAGATCACAGCCACAGCACTGTGCAATGAGCTTTCGTAATAAATCAATCACTCTTACTTAAGTACACTTTGTCTTCTCTATGCCATGATTATTAATTATCATCAATCAAGGTTTCTATGGTAACCCATGTATTATATCATAGAACATTATACACATTACCTTAATCATATATAAGCCATATAAATTTAACAATTACTTGAGACTGAGCTGAGTATTTTTGAATTCCTGCTGTTCTTTGACTTCAGAGGGCCTCTGTTTAAAAGCTCAAATTTGTCCCTTCAGGACAGTGAGAGTGTGCAAGGGCAACATGAGTTTTGGCTTCACTCTTAGAGGCCATGCTCCAGTGTGGATCGATTCTGTCATCCCTGGTAAGTTTAAAATTGATTGATTTAATGGTATCTTTCCAAAGCTTGACTTTCTTCTTCTCTTCAGTTTTCCATGGTCAAATCAGACGTCTCTTTCTCTTGCTCCTTTTCTGTTCTGCAGGCAGCCCAGCAGACAAGGCAGGTCTAAAACCAGGAGACCGTATCCTGTTTCTCAACGGACTGGACATGAGGTTGAGCTCTCACCCTCATTAACTTTACAAATCTTTAGCAAATTTGTGCCCAAGCCCAACATAAAACATTGCTGTTTCTAAAGTAAATCTAATTCATTAGGAAAAGGCTAAAATTACCAGTAAAGATAAATATGGTAACACAGTTATACACAGTTGTTTGATGTCTGTTTGTTTCTCATTTCAAATGGATAATGAATGATAAGGAAGCTCCCCAGAGAATGTGAAAATGTGTTACTCCAGTATATTTAATGTCTTTTGCAGGATAGAGAATGTTTTTTGTAAGTCGTTTCCTCTTTTATGCACCAGTTAAGTAAAATGAGTAATGGCTGCATCAGAGAAATTGAATTTGTTTCTATAAAACAACCAGTGTTGGTGCATGTAATTGCTTACATTGTAATTGCTTAAAGTTACCATCCAGTATATGTCTGCATGTGTCTCCATGCATACCATGAATTTGCCTGTAGGACCTCCTCCCACGAGAAGGTGGTGTCCATGCTGCAGGGGAGTGGTGCCATGCCCACTCTGGTAGTGGAGGATGGTCCACCTACTTTCACCCTGGCAGAACAGGACCTCGCAGGGGGTGGTGTTCCCACAGAACGCGCCCGTTCCCCTGCGCTCAGCTCCCTGCAGTGGGTGGCAGAGATTCTGCCTCCCAGTATCAGGGTTCAGGGCCGCACCTTCGGACAGCAGCTGGAGCACCTGCTGACCATCCAGGAGAGGTATACCATCTGCAAGGCGTTGGAGAACTTCTTCCAGCACAGGTGAGCAAGGGGTCGGGAAGAAGATTGGGACAGAAGAAGCAGGGAGTGGGGGGGGATGGAGAGAAAGTCAGAGGATGAATGTGAAGTGATATGCAAACAAGGAAGAAATTATTGATTGGAATAACTGAACATGTTTGTATTTTGCAGGACAGGTTAAAGTGTAACATTACTAGCCAATTAAACTATAATTGGCTGGTAAAGTTACACTGGAAATTAAGATTTCTTTTTGACAGTGCAACTGTAACATGTTTAAATCAGGTTGTTAAGTGTCTCAAATCAAAATATTTATAGGCAGTCACAAATTCAGGTAAATTAATTACATTAATGATTTCATGAGCACAATAAAAGGGGTACTCCAGATTTAGCCCTGAAGTTTGGGGACTTAAAAGAGACAGAGACTGAAACACCAAGGGCCAAGATATCCTTATTTTTCATCCCTAGTATGGGCCAAGCACCAAAACACTGGCTCTACATCCTACATTTCCCATAATGCAACCATTAGAATCTTTTCAAATGCCCAAATCTTTTAAAGTTTGTAACACAGGCTTTCTGTTATAAACTTTTAGTCCTTAAACCCAAGCAGAAATAATATTGAGGGGATGATGGGGGTTATTTTCTTAGACTTTACACAGTAGTACTTGTGGCACATTGGTGAGTAAACTGGCCTATATGTGTAAAATCAGTGGAGTGCCCCTTTTATTTTGTGTTTTGTTGTCTGCATACACGGGTGGCCATTCGTGTGAGCTTAATGTTGACTTCTGATTGGACAGCCAGGCGACCTCTGTCACCTTGCCTGTGTTTCCATGGCAACAGGAATGTTGACACTCTGATCGTGGATGTGTTCCCGGTGCTGGATACTCCAGCCAAACAGGTGATCTGGCAGTTTGTTTACCAGTTGCTGACATACGAGGAGCAGGAGCACTGCCAGAGCAAGATCTCCCGCTTCCTTGGATACAAACCACCAGGTGTGTGCACACATTTGCTTTTTTTTTTTTTTATATATATATTTTTTGGTATGTGTTGCTTTTGAGGTTTTTATATGTACGAATGAAAAAAAGTTTGTGCGTGAGATGGGCATTGGGATCTTTAATAGTGCAATCAACTCAGGTGCTGCAGCTCTTCTTCATACACCTTTTGCCTCTTCCTCTGCACTGCCAATATGTGTGTGTGTTCCAGTTCCACCACCACCACCACCACCTCCCCCACCTCCGGAGCCTGAGGTTGCCCCTGAACCCCATCGCCGTAGCAGCTCCATGAGGGTAACAGGGACCACGTACAGGAGCAGTGTGAGGGGACGTAGCTCTGATGACCTGGTCATTGGCACACACTTGGGCATGGGTACAGATCTTCATTGTCATTTTCATTGTTTTGATCAGTAGCAGCAGTAACACTGCTACCGCCATGACACATTCCCGTCAGCATCATCACTATTTTAATCATCATCGCTCACATTATCTTCAGCGTGATCGTGAACATGATCCTGTTTAATGCTTTCCACTTCTTAAACATCACCAGTGTTGCTGACATCAGTTCATACTGTATATTTTCTACAATATTTTAAATACTGAATAATATTTTTGTCATAAGCCCATGAAAGCAGAATGGCTTAGTGCAACACTGGACTAAATCTGATACAGTTAGTTGCTGGACTAATGCCAAGGTCTGCAGTTGCTGACCCAAAACTGGCTTAAGTTAATGTAACTGGAGCTGATATTAAGCCCTAATCAGCTGAAGCCCCCACCTTAAACACCAGACAAAACCTTGCAAGTCATTCTAATGAGTGTATTACCATAGGCTTCCGTGCAGAGCCAGTGCTGGAGACAGGGATGAGGTTGGCTCCAGGAGAGAGACAGTCAGGAGATGGTACCTCCCTACCTGAGACTCCTAACAATCTCACCAATGTATGTAACATAGCTGCTCTTGATGGGAAAAGATACAGTAAATATCAAAGTAAGATTCATAATCATCAGGGCAAGAGGTCTTACTCTGGTCTCTCTGTACATTTCCACCATACAAGCTGTCAGCAGTGTACGCTGAACTGGAGAACATGTATTCAGCCAAGAGGTCCAAGTCTCTGAAGAGCCGCCCTCCTCCTGCCCCTGAGAGTTTGCTGGATCTGGAACCTCCTTCACGCTCAGCCTCCCCTACAATACATGCTAACACAGGTAGCCAAAAGTATAAATTCATTCTAAACTCATAGCAGCTAGAGTTAAATTTAACTAATATAACTGTATAAAATGACTATTGTGTGGATGAGTGAGTGTGTGAATGTTTTAGGGGAATAGTGTAAGAGAAGGAGGACAACAAAATGCTGCAGAGCAAGAATGATAAATCCCAAGGCAGCCAACCCACTTCTGACTCAACTGAATATCCTTGAATTTAACATCGACAGGGATTTTTGTGATTTCATGCTGTACATAAATATACAGCAGAGCAGAGATTTGAAACAACCCTCTGCTTTCAGCCTTTTCGCAGCACGGCTATTATTAGGTTTAGTTTCTTTTGTGTGCAGGAAGAGAGTGCAGGGTCAGAGCTGGCATCGGAAACGGGGAGAGGAAATTTTTTATTTTTTTGGGGGGTGGGGGGGGTGGGGGGGTGGGGGGGGGTTTGTAACAAGTTGCCATCTTTGAATGGATTTGGTTTGCCCATGGCTTGTCCTGCCACCCCCCCAGTCAGGGATGCAGTGTGCACTCGTGAGGGAGAGAAACTTCCGCTCACATGGCCAGGCTCTCATGTTACAGGCACTTTATGCACAGTAGACTTTTTTTGTCCTTATAGGGAGGATATGGTGATGGTGGAAGTGGAACTAGAAAACACACATTTAAAGACCCACTTAAATCAAAAATGTGTTTTCTGGAATAGTTAGCTCCTCTGGGAGACGTTCTGATTACTTTTTTGTGCCGAACCTTTCTCCAAATGCAGAACTTGTGGGAGAGTGTCACTGATTGAAAGCCTTTTTATGCATTTGTTGTGTTTGTTTATGTTGTTCAGTGCAAGCCATTGCAGCTGATGCTTCAGATATTTATCTGGCATTAATATAACTGTATACCTCTCCTCCTTATCTCAGGTAGCCGTAAAGGCCCCGCACCCCCTACATCCTGGCCGGAACCTCTCCCCAGCCCCCCTGCTTCCCAGTTCTACCCATCAGGCTTGACAAGCCAGACCAGTGGAGAGTCTAATCCCTACATCAGCTTGGACAGTCCCCCACCCTCACCTCCAGAGCCCGTTGATTTCCCATCTAGTCCCCCAGCCCATCGCAGCAGCAAGCGACGCTACACCTTCTCCAAACCACCCCGTTCAGAAGACACAGATCGCTTTCTGGACGCACTGAGTGAGCAGCTGGGACAGAGGGTGGCCATCATTGACGACTTTCTGACTCCTGAGAATGACTATGAGGAGGTAGAGTCACATCAACACTGCACCAGGAAAGAATGTCTCATTTATGTGAAATATGAGTTTAACAATCTGAATTGACACTTTTTTAGATGCTTACATGATACACTATTAGCAAAAGGAAACCTAAAAGAGTAGTAGTAGTAGACAGTCTGTTAGAAACTACAGCACAATTCTTGTGCAATTTTTGTACAACTAGTTCTTATATACAGAATTTTCCACATTGAGCCAGTTCTTTGTCATCCCACTTATAAATACAGTAAAGTCACAAGCCAGTACTATTGAATTGTTTCCTGTGAAAATACCCATTATACCATAGGTCTTGATAGCAGGTTAAATTCCCCATGGTGCACTGATTCGCTACAGTACACTAATGTAAAATAGGACATACCTCTTGACACACATAAAGTACATAAAGAGAATGGATACAGAACATAGTTTCCTGTAAAATAAAAGTACAAAAAATAATCTTTTGTGTTAAACTTCAGCACAAACAGATTTCTTTCCCTGTAGAGTTTTTCTTTCAGTGGGGTTTGTTAGTGCATCACATTGAACCTAAAGAATCATTAAAACACAATATGTGATCTAATTGCAAACAGAAGAGCACCAAAATCCCTCAACATTAAAACAAACCAGTAAAACCTGCTGTTACAAATGTATTAACAAAATACAACTGAATGCAATTTACTGTAGTTTTACTCATGATTTGCCATTAGACACCTCCCTCACTAATTTTGATATTAACAGCCTTTATGAAGTAACCTGGGTTCTAGACAGAAGTGCGTAAGCGGTCATTACTGCGGTGGCATCTCACTCATTAACCTGCGCAGTAAGTGTATGTATGTTTTAACCATGTTGTGTCCAACTTTTGCAGATGAATACAAGAGATCCTGTAGAACCTGTCTAGCCTCCAAAATGTGTTTTAAGGGTTAGAGTATGTTTAAAAAAATGTTTTTAGACAACATTTGATCAACTCAAAGAATTTCAAAAGTTCAATTTTGACATTAATGGGCTAATGAAGTGTAATTGGTGTTAATGCCAGGATGTTGTGCAGATGGGCTTCCCAGATGAGGAAGATGAGGATAATGAAGAAGAGTTAGTGGTGGACGAAGAAGAAAATGGAGGATTTGTGGCCCCAGAGCTGAGCAGCCCGAGTGACGTTCAAAGCAGCAGCGGAGAAGAGAATGCCTCCTCACTCACTTACTCCTCATCCTCTGACCACATCCCCCCTCCCCCGATGACTCCTCCTCCACCCCCGCCTGTTCAGTTCAATGACCCGCCTCCCCCACCTCCAGCACCTGCGCAGGCTCAGCCTCCTCAGCAACAGCAGCAACAGCAGCAACAGCTTAACTACACCCCAGAACATTCCCCAAGAGCATATGTGCCCATTCGCCGGAAATCTGGACCCCCTCCACCACCTCCACCCCGCAGTAACCCACCACCTAAACGCCACTCTCTCCACAAAGTGCTTCCAACAAAAGAGGACTTACAGGTTCATGCTACCATACAAGAGCTAAAAGCCTACCAAGAACAACAAGTATACCAGGAGAGACAAGTCTATGAGGAGCAACAAGCATACAAGGAGAGACAAGCCTATGAGGAGCAACAAGCGTATAAGGAGAGACAAGTCTATGAGGAGCAACAAGCGTACAAGGAGAGGCAGGCGTATGAAGAACAGAAAGCCTTTGAAGAACAACAACTGTTCCAGGAGCAGCAGGCCTACCAGGAACAACAAGCCTATCAGGAGAAAATCTTCAAAGAGAGACAAGCTTATGAAGAGCAGAAAGCATATGAGGAGCAAAAAGCTTTCGAAGAGCAACAAATGTACCAGGAGCAACAAGCCTACCAAGATAGGCAAGTATACGAGCAACGTCAAGCCTACCAGGAACAAAAAGCGTATGAACAGCGTCAAGCCTACAAGGAGCAAAAAGCATTTGAAGAGCTACAAGCCTTCCAGGAGCAAAAAGCCTATGAGGAGCGTAAAGCTTATGAGGAGCGCCAGGTCTACGAGGAGCGCCAGGTCTATGAGGAGCGCCAGGTCTATGAAGAGCAACAAGCGTATCAAGAGCAACAGATGCAACAGATTTACCAGAGTCACCACTCGATGCCTGCCCAGCCAACACAGCCGAAATCCCACTCACCACTTCCCCTCCAACAACTGCACCAGTCCTTACCCCCACTCCCCTCTCCAGACTCTACCCATCAACACGCCAACCATCCCCTCTATATGATCCGCCAAGCACAGCAGCAACAGGCCCACCAGAGCCATCACCACCGACGGCAGTCTCGTTCAGCCCCTCCTCCACACCAGCCGTCACCCCAACCGACAGCCCACCCTAGTCAACAAGGTCAGTACGCTGAGGGCATCTACCAAAGTCATCAGGGCCTGAGATCCCACCCTCACCATTCTTCAGCGGAGATGCTCCACCAGATGCACCAAGCCCCAGCCCATCACTCCTCTGCCGAGATGCTCCACCAGTTGCAACAATCCCAGGCCCACCACTCATCTGCTGAGATGCTCCAGCAAATGCAGCAAGCCCATGCCCACTACTCCTCTTCAGAAATGCTCCACCAGATCCACAAATCCAAGGCCCATCATTCTTCAACAGAGCTTCTGCACCAAGCTCAGCAAATGCAGCAGATGCAGCCTCACCACTCCTCAACAGAACTTCTCCATCAAGCTCATCAGATGCATCGGGGTCAACCGCACCATTCGTCCACTGAGCTGCTCCAGCAAATGCACAAACCCCAGGCCCACCACTCCTCCACAGAGCTGCTCCATCAAGTCCATCAGATGCACCAACCCAAGCCCCATCACTCCTCCACGGAGCTTCTGCATCAAACCCAGCAGGAGCCTGCCTCCCTCCCAGTTCAGCTAAAACGGGACAGCCACTCACACCAGAGCCGCAGAAGTCTCAAAGGTCATCATCAAAGCCAAGTGTCACCTCAAGGGAGACACCAAGAGCAGCAGATCCACCAAACCCATCACCCCCAGCCCACCAAACCCTCCCCCCAGAGACCCCACTCTATCCAGCAGACCCACCACCACTCCAGCACCCCTCAGATCCACCACATCCACCACATGACCCCACAGCCCCCTCCGCAGGATTACCAACACCAGATTCATGTCATCCACCCTCCCCAGCAGCCCCACAGGCCCCAGCCTCTTCTCTCTACCTTTCAGCCTCTTCAGCCGCATCAGCCCACCCTCTCCACTTTTCAGCCCCTTCCCCAACACCACCAATCACCGCACCAAGTCCAGCCCTCCACCCAAGCTGCCCGTCCACAGTCGCAGCCCTCACATCACCTACTGCAGTCCCAACACCAGCCACAATCCCAGTCATCCCACCATAAACAATGCCACAGCCCGAGTCAGCCTCAGTCCCTCCCCCACTCTCTGTCTGACCCCACAGAGCACCTGGAGCCCCCTCCTCCTCCACCCCTGCCCCCACCCTGTTCCCCTCCACCATTGCCAAGGCCCAGTCTGTCCAGGATGGACTCCAACCACATGAGTGTGAAGAGGCTGCGCTGGGAGCAGGTGGAAAATTCAGAGGGGACCATCTGGGGACAGGTGAGTTGTGTGGGGTTCAGACATGGGGAGCTAAGAAAAACTGTGACACACTTCATATTTAGAAAAACAAATAAAAATATAAAACTATAAAAGTTAGTTAATGAAATTGTCAACATTTTTTGATTATCTTTGGTAGCTGGGAGCAAATTCTGACTATGATAAACTGCATGACATGGTGAAGTATCTGGATCTGGAGCTCCACTTTGGGACGCAGAAGAGCTCGAGTGAGTAAAAGTGGCTGCATCCACATCTGAAGTTCTTTGATCAGTAGTTGATTTGACAGAATGACACATGTATCATTATTTCATAGCACATCATCCTGGTTCTTGGATCCCTGCATCCCTGTGATGTGATGATTTATTCAGTGAACGTATTACACTCCTTAATCTTAACTCCTATTAGATCTTTAATTGATCATTAAATAAAATCATGATTTCCAAGCTCTTATTATTATTTATATTATATTTTATTTAATTTATATATTTATGTTATTTCTGTAGTATTTCTATAATTTTTCCCTTGTAGATTGTGGACTATAAATTGTGGAGCGTAAGCTTATTCTCCTATTACACCCTTTGTAGTGCCCTTTAGAAACCAATGTCAAAATGGAAAATGTGCACTTACAGTATGTGTATCTACCATGTTCCTCTGTAACTGATCCCACTTCAGTGCCTGCTCCAGAGCCATCCCTCCAGTCAGAAACCTTCAAGAAGAAAGATGTGATAGAAATTCTGTCCCATAAAAAGGCTTACAATGCCTGTAAGTATAAAATGGCATATTATTATGTATAGTCATATACACCATACCCTTTATGTTTTTAAACTTTATTTATAGTTATTCAGGATGAATCCCACTGGTCGTCCTCCGTCCACCAGCAGTTTTCACCTATTTAATGAAATATCTCAACAGCTATGTGATGGATTGGGACCACACACACATACAGATATTCATGGTTGTCAGACAGTGTATTCTAATATCTTTGGTGGACCCCTGACCTTTCCTCTAGCACCTTCATTTGGTTGACATTTTTGTTTTGTATTGAAATATATTGGCCAACTATTAGATTGATTGGTGTGAAATTTGCTAAACATATTCATGATACCCACAGGAAGAGAAACAAAAAATGTGATCCCCTGACCTTTCATCTAGTGTCATCATCAGGTCAAGATTTCTGTTTATCCAATACTTTGTTTAGTGACTATATACTGGCAAAAGTAATGACATTCCTACTTGCCTCAACTGTACTTTGTATTTAGTTGTAAATAGCAAATATTAGCATGCTAAACATGCTAAACTAAGATGGTAAACATTATACCAGCATTTTAATTTAATTAAAACTTTTTTGGCCTTTGTTTTTTTAACCTCTAGCCATCCTGATAGCCCACCTGAAGCTGTCTCCTGGGGAGCTGCGTCAGGTGCTGATGAACATGGCCACTGATAGGCTGGAGCCATCACACATCAAACAGCTGCTGCTGTATGCCCCTGATGCAGAGGAGGTCAAAAAATACGAAGAGTACAGGCAGGACCCCAGCAAACTGAGCGAACCAGACCAGTTTGTGTTGCAGGTACAGTCCTTGCAGGGAGTGGATGGGTGGGCGGGTTGGTTTTTGTTGATTTGCACATTTACACAAGCCTTTGCGTCGGTAACCTTAGCCTGTGTCATTGCCTGTGTTTATCATCACTCGCTTACTCTCTCGTTGTGTGTGTTCTCCGTCAGATGTTATCAGTGCCAGAGTACAAGACTCGCCTCCAGAGCCTCCTCTTCAAGTGCTCTCTACAGGAGAAGACAGAGGAGTTGCGGGGAGCATACGACTGTATCTACAAGGCCTCCATGGAGCTGAAGACCAGCAAGAAGCTAGCCAAGATACTAGAGGTAACGGACTGTTCAGAAAAGGTCATTCAAAAAGTACAAGCTGTCTACAACCCTGGTGTTTTGCTGATGGTGTAAAAATGCTGTGTGATTCTGATAAGACACAGCAAAAAAAAAAAAACCCAAAAAAACACCTGCACTGTGGGAGATGGTGTTTGTTATCAGATATAAGGAGCAGTAAAACTTGTTTCCTGGAGCTTGAACTGGAACTAGACGTAGAAGTATATCTTCATTTTTCAGTATTTCTGATTTAGATTGGCGTAAAATAAAACGACTAGAAGAAAAAAAAAAAAACTATGCCTGCCAATGAGAGCTCAGACAAATGTCGCAAATTTGTAATCAATTAAATGCTTGCTGCATTCTCTCTTTCTTCAGTTTGTGCTGGCGATGGGAAACTACTTGAATAACAGCCAGCCTAAAACCAACAAGACGACAGGCTTCAAGATCAACTTCCTAACAGAGGTACGTCATACACGTATGGATACTATAGAAAATTGCCTGTTTTTAATCTTTCTTTTTATTTTCATCATACCACAGTTGTGCAGTTAATAGATTCATTTTGTCCTCTGCAGTTGAGCACAACTAAAACAGTGGACGGGAAGTCGACATTTCTGCACATCCTGGTCAAGTCCTTATGTCAACACTTTCCTGATGTGTTGGATTTTTCCAAAGATCTAACCATGGTTCCTCTTGCAGCCAAAGGTAGATTGATACATTTTCCTTCAATGCCTGTTCCACAGTGTGAGAACAGTTAAGAACAGACTGATCTCTTACTCAGGATTTATTTGTAGTTGTCATGTTTTTTCATGTTAGTCACCGATTTGAAGTGTACTGTCCCTCTATTTCTATTTTTCTGTTTTGTGCACGCACTGGTCAGCAGTAAACCAGAGGACTATCACGTCAGATCTGAACGACCTTCATACAACCATCCAGGACATTCGCTCAGCCTGTCAGAAGATGCCTGCGACTGCTGAGGACCGTTTTGCTGTTGTCATGAGTGTATCCTTCACAAAAGGAAAGGAAAAGAGTTAAAAAATAATGTAGTAAAAGAAGTAATGAGATGTTTGTGACCCTTGACTCCAGTGTGTGTAGAACTTTTTGGAAAACAGCCACCCAGCACTCCAGTCTCTGGAGTCCCTGCAACAGAGAGCGATGGAAGAATTCAGCAAAACTGCCTCTTACTTTGGAGAAGACAGCAAAGCCACCAACACAGAGGCCTTCTTTGGTATCTTTGCTGAGTTCATGAGCAAGTTTGAGGTGAGCAAGAAAGATTCATGCATTCATTCATTCATTCATTCATTCAAATAATTCCTGTTGTCACATGCACAGTATTACAGTCAAAATAATATGCATGTTATCCTCTTTAGTTCCTTCTTAGCCTTCACTGAACTGGAATAACAAATGTTTCTTTAAAACAGCCTGTGACACACAATTTAAATGGTTGCAGATAAACACTTTTCTTCTCTGCCAATGTTTTGTTTTCAGGAAGGCCTGTGCAGTGTATTCAGTGCTTTTAGTAATGAGCAACAATTCACAGTAATTGGATCAGTATGTTGACACTCAGTATACAGCAGTGGGTTGTTTGAATATTTTTGTCGGGAAGTCAGATCTGAATAGATAAAGGAGAATTAAAAGAAGTTATTTGACTTTTTTTTTTGCATAGAAATTTTATTTTTTTTCTGCAGCTTTAATGGGCTGAAAATCAAAGTTCACAAATATCCTGATTGAGAATCTGTTGTAAATTTTATCCAATTATTTTAATGTCATGGTCATAATCTTTAGTAATTTGAATTTTTCATGGTTATGTTTTTATGAATTCATAAATATGGAAATTTTAGCACTGAAATCCTTATTACCAAGCGCTGATTGAAAGAAATAAATACCCAAAAGATGGAACACACTACAAAAAAACTATAAGATAACAATATATTCCACAAAAGCTTTTAAAGACCCATAATAATAATACAGTTTATGCTGTCTTACAAACCCTGTTGGTTCTTCACCACAGAGAGCTCTCGGTGATCATCAGGCTGCAGAAAACCTGAAGAGCCCCAGGAGTCCACGAATGGCCTCCCCACTGGCCTGGTAACACACACACATATATATGGACATGACTACAGTTAACACAGTATACATATACACGTACACACAAGTGTTCACATACATAGTGTATACATATTCTGTACATACATGGGACAAATGCAAACACACACACCTTTCAGTGCACATTTCTGAGCAAAAAAGCTATTTTTAAGTGTTGTGTATGTGTGTGTGTTTTTGGTTACATCAAGGGAGACAGAATGTCTTTTGCATCAAAGATGGATCATTTTGCATTCTACCAGTGGTGTAGTGTATGGGTCCTTTTGAAAATAAATCTAAGTTTTGTCGAAGCTTTAATGGCTAAGACTTCTACATAGAGCACAATCTTGTTTGGCCGTCAAGGTATCTCTACTGTTTAAAAGATAGTTACTCAGTAACATCCTATAGTTTAAGTTTTCTTTCTTTAAGTTTAGGTCACCTCTGTAAGTGTGGTATAACAATTCTACAGTAAAATCTTTGTGATAATGTCCTTGAATAAGACGTAGATTTACAAAAACATTTTATCCTGAAATAGATGTTAATTTAAAATATACCCACGTGCAGTCGGTGGTTTGGAGGAAACCACAAAAGCAGTTTTTCCTGTTAGTTTACATGTTCTGTATTTTTGTAAGCGGCCCACCACTCTGAATGTAATATAAGTTCTTTACTGACTTAAGTGTAGCTTATTTTCTCAAGTAAAACTCACACACATCAGCTTTCCTGATGATGGATTGTTTCATTTATCGCATCGTGCGTATACCTCCATTTCAGTGGATTTTCTTACCACATCAGTTGTAGCTTTAAGAACTTTTTTTTTTCCTAAATGGTGTTGATCTTGTATGATACCTCAAATGCTACCAACTTGTACATATGAGACAATAACAGTGAGAAGTTGGCACTTAACTTGAGTTTTTAAAAGACAATTTTAACTGGATCATTTTTAATCTGGCTCAAATCAGTAATAACAGATTATTGAAGTGGGATTATGTTGATCTGACAGCGGGCAGTGTGCAATATATGAATGTTTAGCTGTGTTCCAGTGTTAGATATTATATTCATTAAACTGTAACAGAGATATCTTGTGTTTTTACCGTACCGGATGAGACTGAATGTTAGTTATTACACTGAGAGGACAGCAATGTCATTAATGTCAGTGTATGAGATGCAGCATTTGACAAAACCTTCAACTAATAATACATCATACCAGCTTCTGAGCTATACCAGTGCTTTGTAAAACTTAAAGCTTAGTCCCCCTGTGATATTTTTAAATGTTAAGGTTAAGGTTTAAGCTGTGCAGCTAGGATAAGTTGTCTTTTTTTTTTTCTGCTTAACTTACAGAACCTTGAAAGCGTTGCTGTCCATTTAAGGCTTATAAAGTGTTAAGTCTGTATTTTGTATTGTGTCCTAACAATGCTGACAAATATAAAGAGTCATATGAAATCTATCTTTGCCTGACTGTCTATGTTTTTAAAATGATCTGTCATGAGACTGTGTTGTCTTACAGAGAAATAATACTATATGCACCCGTATATTATTGACAGTACAAAGGTAATTACACTTGTTGGCCTTATTTCTACGTCTCTTGCAACTCTTATGCTGTAAATAACATGTCATCATATGTCTTTACAACTTGCTTACAGCTGCTGCTGACACACCTGCTATTGCTGCAGTATCTCAGATGAACATTTGTTTATAGTCAGATAAGCCTGAAACTGAACGTCTCTGCTCTGGACACAGACGCTGACCTTCCACTTATCTTGCTTTATCGATATCACCGCTCATTTCTCCTGTGGAATGAGGTATTAATTAAAAAACTCATTCAGCAATCATTTAGCTCTTCCACTGGCTGCTGGACTGTGTGTTGTGCGAACACCTCTCTGTGAGGAGTAATAAATCTTTTACATTTTAACGAAACCTTGTTGTGCGTGAGGTGAAAGTGGAGTTTGATCTTTTGGCGAGTGGGGGAAAGCTCCGCCACAAACATGACAATCCTGGGATCGTCCCCAGGTTGCTTGTGACATGCTGTTGTGTTTGGGGAAGACAACGCAGTCAGGACAGTCCAGCTGGTAGTGATACACTGTGATCATTTACTGAAAGGTGAGTTTATTTATTAAACAATATCATCCAGTGCATAGCCTGAAGATACTGAGATACTGAGCAAATGTAACTTTGTAAAGTTTCTTATCTAGAGCAAGTCTCACAAAGTGCTTTACAAGTCACAGATGTTTTAAAGTGCACAATCATTGTGACTTCATACACTGATACCAGTACAGGTTACAAGGCAAGATTAAAAAGTGTAGCTGTCTTCAACAGTTGAATTCGTATGACAGCAGCACGGCAGGTTTAATACATGTGTCTCCAGTAGAAATTGTGATATACTGTAAATTTATTAAAAAGATTGATTCTAACTTTGATTATTCAGTTTGTCTCAACTAGTGGTCAACTCAACTCTCAAGTTGAGAAAAGTCTTGCATTCACTTGAGTAAAGATACATAAGTATCAGTAAGTTAGATTTTGGCATTTTTTCAAATCAATAGTGTCTTAAAACACTAATGTTTCTTTTTTTTTGGCTTGCTGTAATTATTCTTCCTGTTCATGCCGGTCATTAGAAGATTCTTTCATAAAATGCCTCCAAATTTAAGCGATGGGGTACAAAATCTACTGTTCTCTTAAGTTTATAAGAAGCTTCAGCAGTCTGAGTCTGACAAATCAAGTTAGTATTTTCTAGAGTTAAAGTCTGTTTTGCACTTCAGTGTACTTTATTTCCTCCCCCTCATCTGAACACGAAGCAGGAATTCCACACCAAACAGAATTTGGAAGTAAATGTGAACCTGTCCTTGAAGTATTAAAAAGTAAATGTTCAGAGTATGCAGAATGTCCGCTTTCAGACTCTTATTTTACATTCTTGTATTTTTACAAATGCATAAACATGCAAGCAGAATGTTAATGTCAAGGTGGAGCTGATTTTTACTATACCTGTGCGTCTTTCTACATTAATGTAACTAACAATGACAGTTCATAAGTATCATATTCATAAGGTTATATGTTTTGTTGGATTCCGTACATGAAAATGAACGATATCTGTCAAGTAAACCCACTGTAGTGATGGAGTAGAGAGTAGCACATAAAAGAAATACAAGTACACAAGTACATGTGCTTAGCTCATACTTTTATGATTACTGTAAAAGCCATTTAAGGACTCGATAGACAAAACATATGATCAAGAGCCAAGAGTGTGGGATGTTTAATGTCATATTTGGTGTTAATTACCTGCAACAACAGTTTACAATGTTTCCAAATTGTAAGTTATCATCTTCTGTACTCACTATCAGAATCTATTCATGTCTTGGTTTCCAGATGAATTTTGACCTTGCAGCAGGGCGCCAAGGGACCAGCATGACCCCATCTCCATCGCCCTCTCCCGGGGCCAGGACTACCCTGGTTACTGGGGATATAGTAGTGCTGGTGGTCTACTTTCTTCTCGTGCTGGGAGTGGGCCTCTGGGTAAGTACAGGGGAAAAAAAGAAACAGGTCACTGCTTCAGCACTGATACCAAACATTTTAACATAGTAAGCTATTTCTTGTTAGACGAACAAATTTTGTCTTCTTTGTCCTTTTGCATCTTCGCTATCAAGCAAATGTTTCTACTGTCCTTCAGCAAGAACAGAACTAACTTGCATCATTTTAACTTTATGACAAGTTAGATTCCGCTTTCTCATCTCTCCTCTCTTCATGCTCATGTTGGAGATCCTGCGTTTTTCTTTCTTTGATTCCGTATGGATCCTGTCGTAAATGATGAGAAAGCAGTGATACTTTGACTTTGCTTCGTGTCTCATCATTTGCTTGCACGAAGGATTTGGCCGCTGATGACAAACACAAGAAATGTCCGTTTAATTTTAGATATCCTAAGAGGGATTTTAGAGGAAAACATTCCTAATGCCATGACTGTTGTGGTGGCTTTGTAATAGTACAATAACGATATTTGTAATATCAACAAGGGTTAGCACCTAGGGGGGTACAAGGGTTTCTGCTCTACATATCCAGAAAATATGTAAAGTATGTTACTGTTTTTAAGGGATAAGACACTTTAAGTGGTAGAAAAGGAAATGTCTCTAGTGGCAGATCAGCATAAGTACCTACAATCTATGGCAGTGTGGTGTGTAGGGCACAGTATGTGAGCTTGAGTACTCATTGCACTGTTGCATATGTGGCAAAAGGGTGCCCTGGAGTACCTGCGGAACCGTGTTGCACAAATTCATTCAGATTTTCCTCCCAACATCCTCCCTTTTATTTAGTTAGAGATCCTGTTTCTGCTCAGGTCGTATGAATCAACATTTCCTCCCCACACGCATCTCTTAAAGAGGTTTTTCATTTTTTCTGTCAGTCCATGTGGAGGACGAAGCGCAGCACTGTGGATGGATACTTCCTGGCTGGGAAGAACATGACCTGGTGGCCGGTGAGTATAAAGGCTATATACTGTATATAAAGGCTTCTGAATAATAAACCACCCACATAGACCAATGGTGTGAGCATAGCAGAACTCCTATTGAAGTATGTTTTTATCACTGCAACCTCCATCTCTATTCGTTCACGCTTTAAAATTCAGATGGCAAAAATATTGTTTGGTTCAAAGTGACACCTTACCTCACCTGATTCTCTCTCTCTCGTCTGTATTGAGGTGGGTGCCTCCCTGTTTGCCAGTAACATTGGCAGTGGACATTTTATTGGCCTGGCAGGGTCAGGAGCTGCAGCAGGAATCGCGGCATTTTCATATGAATGGAATGTAAGAGACATTTAAGATTCACTATACTAATGTAAAAAAACAATTTTACTTTTCATTTTTAAAGTGTTTTAAAATCTTCTCATATCAGGGTATGCTGATGGTGCTGCTGCTGGGATGGCTCTTCCTGCCCATTTATGTTGCCTCTGGGGTGAGGTGTCTACACTCACAGTAAAATATCCCACACATACACACGCACAAACACGTGCACATGCATGATATTGTCCATTTATTCCCTTATAACCATCTTTGATCTTTTTTTTTCTCCTGCAGGTAACAACAATGCCAGAATACTTGCAGAGGCGATTTGGTGGGAAAAGAACCCAGTTATTTATAGCTGTGCTGTCCTTGTTTATTTACGTTTTCACAAAGATATCGGTATGATACGAATCCACAGTCATTCTCTAGTGCTTTCTACGCTGCTGTTTGCAGTGTGTTCCCTCAATTTTACCCGCTCATCTTAACCTTCATTGTGGTTTGTGATGTACATATCCCATGCAGTGTGTGTGTGTGTGTGTGTGTGTATGTGTTTCTCGACCAGGTGGACATATATGCTGGTGCGTTGTTTATACAGCTGGCCTTACAGTGGAATATCTACCTGGCTATAGTGGTGCTGCTGTCAGTCACTGCTCTCTACACTGTTGCAGGTGAAACTTTGACTTTTAAAACCTCTTGCTAAGACAATGTAGACATAAGAGTACAGTTTTCTGCTTCTTCTGCATGTCCCTGGCTGGTAGAAGTGCAGCATGTGTTGTATGTTGTGTCTCAGGTGGCCTGGCTGCAGTCATCTATACGGATGCTGCTCAAACCGCCATCATGCTGGCAGGAGCTCTCACCCTCATGGGCTTCAGTAAGTCAAATCAGATTCCTGCATGACACCCTCACATCACCAGCACTTCATGTTCCCGTGTAAATGACCCTGTGATCCCCTTGCTGAGGCTTTGCGGAGATCGGAGGCTGGAACGCTCTGATGGAGGGATACGCCAACGCCATCCCTTCTATCCGGGTGCCCAACTCGACCTGCGGCATCACTCGAGATGACGCCTTCCACATATTCAGAGACCCGGTGAACTCCGACTTGCCTTGGCCTGGGGTCATCATCGGCATGTCCATCCCTTCCATGTGGTACTGGTGTTCTGATCAGGTACTAATTATCACTATCACAAGTCAGGATATGTAAAAAAGCCTCTTCCTTTAATAAAGTTTGAAACAGGGGTTTGAAACCAGACGATATGCCAGAAAGCCTGATCCCTACAGGGAAGGCAGTTGGTAGCAAATTTAGTTTACTTTTAAAATATAAAGAGGCCTTTCATCTATAAAAGATGAAAAGTGTATTTTAGTGCTTTCCCATCGTGTTTATACTCTTCTACAAATTCCTCTCAAATAAAGTACTGAAAGTCTTCATCTGAAAATTCCCATCTTGAACATTTGGCATGTTTTGCTCCTCATAGAGGTTAAAAATTCCTTTGATACAATATCAGTAGATTTAATGAGCATATTTGTCTAATCGGTTCAGCAGTTGAATCATATTTTTTTGCACATACAACCCTTACCCCTGATACACTCCAGGCTCTGACACTAACACTACGTGATTTCCTTTTCCCATACCGATCCACATTAAATAGGCCCCAATTAAAGTGTAATTACATACTAATAAATATCTCGATTACACATTAACCCACAGTCACTGGGTGTTAACTGAGGATGAACTGTGGTTGTGATTGTCTACAGGTGATTGTGCAGCGCTCCCTGGCTGCTAAGACCCTGACCCATGCTAAAGGAGGCTCCCTGCTGGCTGCTTATCTTAAGTTTCTGCCCTTCTTTGCTGTTATGCTGCCTGGCATGATCAGCAGGATACTCTACACAGGTATGAGAATGCTTTCTTATCAGTGATTACTGAAGCTGTGTATACTTATTGTGTAACTATATATGACTTAATTAACCTCATAAAAGTAGTTGATTTACTAACTGGTCTTCGATACAGAACACATGTTTGTATTCAGGTAATGCTGATACTTGCAGAGTTTTAATATTTAAAAAGTGATGCTAAATTGTGTCTGGTGAAGTGCTGTGTGTTTAATGATGTTGTGCAGATGATGTAGCGTGTGCAGACCCTGAGCAGTGCAAACAGATTTGTGGCAACGCAGTGGGTTGTTCAGATACTGCCTACGCCAGACTGGTCATGGAGCTGCTGCCTGCAGGTGAGGACACTTTTTCCCCTCAGTCACACAGCTCCCGCTCTGCCCTTTGCTCTCTTTTACTCCAGCCTGTGTGTGTGTGTGTGTGTGTGTGTGTTGTGTTGTGTGGTGTGTGTGTGTGTGTGTGTGTGTGCTGTGGTGTGTTTTTTTCTTGCCCAGGATTAAGGGGTCTGATGATGGCGGTGATGATCGCTGCCCTCATGTCCTCTCTGACCTCCATCTTCAACAGCGCCAGCACCATTTTTACCATGGATGTATGGAGGAGTTTCAGATCCCGTGCGTCTGAGTGGGAGCTCATGATTGTGGGCAGGTATGTGACCACATCTGGACAAGCAGACATAACCCAAAATATGGTCCTGCTTCTAGCACACTGTATATACCCTATACTGAAGCACCGGTTTTAGCCTGCAGCAAAGAACATTTAAGGCCTTTTCTAAAAAATAATCAGCCGTCAGCTTTTTCCACTGAGGTTTACTTAAGTTAAAAGATTAAAGGCTTATACAGTGAAGAATATTTTATTCCTGCTTGGACCATCTACATTTAATAAGTAACCATGTATGGCATTACACTGCACTTTGGATGAAATCATGCACTAAATTGCATATTAAATCATTACATTTTTCTGTCATGCTCACCCAAACCATAACCCCTCTTTCCAAATATTTCCAAGTAACGACTTTACCACATTTTGTTCTCTATCCTTTACACACACACACGCACGAACACACACACACACACACACACACACACACACACACACACACACACACACACACACACACAGCCTAGTAGTAGCCAAATGTACAGTGCTGTTGAGATTTATGTATCAAAATGTTCAGTTTTCTCAGAGGCTGTCCTGTCATGACATTACGACACGACTTTGAACTAAACTGAACCGCTTCAATTTTCATTCATTCAAAACACCGGTCTTATGTTTCATGTGCATGCGGCAGAGTGTTTGTGCTGGTGCTGTTGGTAGCCTCCATTCTGTGGATTCCTGTTGTTCAGGCCAGTCAGGGTGGACAGCTCTTCATCTACATCCAGTCCATCAGCAGCTACCTCCAGCCCCCAGTCTCCATCATCTTCCTCACGGGATGCTTCTGGAAGAGGACTAATGAGAAGGTGCACTTAGTGCATGCATCTCCCATCTCTGCGTTTAATTTGGTCTCTATGTGCAATGTGGCGAGGCAACTGTAAATAAATACATCTGTGTCTGTGCTTGTCTTTGACTCTCTCTCTCTCTCTCTCTCTCTCTCTCTCTCTCTCTCTCTCTCAGGGTGCATTCTGGGGCCTGGTTATCGGCCTGTTGGTGGGCTGCATCCGCATGATTTTGGACTTTATTTACCCTGCACCCCCGTGCTACGAGGAGGACGAGAGGCCTGCGGTGTTGAAATACGTCCATTTCCTCTACTTCTCCATCTTGCTGTCCGTCATCACCCTGGTTGTGGTGGTTGTGGTCAGCCTGTCCACAGAGGAGCCCGCACCAGAGCAGGTGAAGCCACTATTCAGATCTGTTATGACGTTGTTGACGTTTCACAGTTGTTGTATTTAATTTTCACTGACATTGACCATTAGAGGGTACAGAAAGACTTCTGCTTGGGTCATGAATTCAAATGCAGAAATTAAAGTTATTATTTTATTGTCTTTTGCATACTTAAAAAAAAAAAAACTTAATTCCTGCCTTAGAAAAATATTTTCAAACATGCGTTGCACCAGACATAATAGATCTGCAGCAATACAGCACCACAAGGTGTCAATAGCACCTCATGGTATGTTGGAGGAAAATTGATTCATTTCCTGTACAATGATTGGAAACTCTGATCTAATTCATCATCATTTGGGTCGTTGATAAAAACTATTTTTGCTGCAGCGGAAACCTGACTTTACATATGTTCAGTTTTGTGGTACACTCAAATATAAATCAATACGTTCTGAAATGTCCACAAGAGAATAAATCGGATTTTCCTAGTTCTTTGAGTTAACTCTTTGTGTCGTGTCTTTTTTTTTTTTGTTGTTGTTTTTTTGTCAACAGATTAGTCGCCTTACCTGGTTCACAAGGTTTGACCCAGTGGAGCCCAAGCAGCATGTATTCACAGTGGAGCGGAGCAGTAAGACCTTCGACGTGATCACTGTTCAGACGGCTGACATGGGAACTACAGGAAGAGAGCAGGAGACCAGCAATGGAAAAGCGTGTCATGACAGGAAAGGTGGGTCTCTGTCCTGCTTGTGATGACTCTTTTCCACTCGACCATTTGTCCTTCTTTCTGGTAAACACACCCAGTGAACAATTCAAAATGTCCCCTTTCTCCTCCTTGAACTCTCCAGACTCTTCATCCTCTGTGTCCTCCAGCGTCCACAGCCAGTCCAGGCTGATGTCTGCCCTCTACTGGCTGTGTGGGATGGAAAGACGGAAGGACGGAGAGGACAATCCTGTGACTCCTCCTGCACCTGAACAGGCCTGTTCTCTGAAAGAAAAGCGACATCTACGACTCATTGTCAACGTCAACCTCATCATTTGCCTCTCTGTAGTTGCCTTTTTTGTTGGCTACTGGGCCTGACGGGACAGGTACGACACTCTCAATGGACACACGGTGTGTGGTTTGGGTGAAAAGTTTAAGTGTTTTGTTTTAGTGTTTAAGTGTTTTGTTGAAGTTTGACTTTCTTCTTGTTAAATTGAAACAATAAAACGGGATGTGACATGTGTGACATTAGATCCTTTGTAATCTTGGTGAGAAACATGAAGAAACAATGTCAAAAAAAGTTGATTCAAAAAACTCCAGTTACACAGTTACAGTCTTTAATGAGTTTATAGCTGAAAAACACCATTATGACTGATCGTAAGGGAAATCCACCTTTTGGTAGAGTTTTTTTCATCAATTAACAACAATTAAATGTTGACAAAATGAAGTGGACAACACTGTAAAATATTGAACAGTCTTTTATTAAGAGTAATGATGCACTATATGATGCAATATGTGCAGAATAAAAACACCATAAAAATGCTGAGAAAAAAAAAAACATAATCAAAGAGCTGAAAAATACCCAAACAAGGTAAAGATCGTCAGCTGCAGTAAAAAATTATACACAAAGAAGATTTTAATTATTTGGTTGCATTTGGTCATAGCAGTGAGCTTGAGTGGGAATGATCACTTAAAGACTATGTAATGAAAATCAGTTTCTATTCATCACAATAAATGTGACAGAAAAAAAAATCCCTTTTCACAATAAATTCTAATCTTTGGGATATTTTCAACTTGGTAAATCAAGTCAGCTGAAATAATAAAAAAAAATCTAATTGGGAACAAAATTATATTTTACCCCACTGGATATAATGAAACTGCCTGAAATTCCAAAAAGATTCTAAAAGACAACTGCATTTTATATTGCACTCTAGCCAAAATATTTGGTCATCAACAACCTTAATACAAACTGAGCAGCTCTGAATTTGAAATGAATATCCTTTGGCCCATAGCCATGTCTTTGGTCCTTTGTAATATGGTGCAGAAGTGCGTGACAATTATTCAAAAGCCCTTCTCAGCTGATCATCACATTTAACCAGTTGAAAGTGACACATTGGAAAGTGATTAAGAAAAATGTCTGAATGCGATTCTGTGTCATGATAAATAGATCATCAGTGGCTGGCTAACACTCACACAACTTTGCTCCGGAATAAAAAACGTGCTAGTCAGCGGGTCTATGTGGTCCGACCTGGTGCTAAAACCAGATTCACAGATCTCTGTCAGCACTGAATCTTCAGTATCGATAGCAAGATTTTAAAAAGAAGCAGGAGGCAAGTGAAAGCTCTGAATGCTTCACCAGCACACTCTGAGTTCAGCTGCTATATTGTTGAGGTTATATGTTTAAGTCCCATTAGCCTTGTATCTAGCAAGACTCTGCAGTCCAATCTCAAAATACCCAGCAGTATATAGAGCAAAAAGAGTTCAAGATGAAGTCTAATATGGAAAGTGACAGGCTGGGGTTTTGTGGTTCAAACCAACACTGTAATAAGACGAGGTTTCTGTTTTTAGTCAGTATAACAGAAGAAAAGGCAGCCATTTTTTTCCCCCAGAAAGCAGTCCGGGATCATGTAAGTGGAGCGTAAATAGCTGGAGTGAACTGGTGCATTTTGGGTTACCTGTCTGATTCTAAACATTCAAATCTGGACCAGCTGAGTGAAGAGAGATTCCGATGACAACGATCCCTCGTTTTTTTGTTTTTTTTTCTCTTCTTCACAGAGCGGTGCTCTCTGACTGGATGTGAGGGTCTGGGGGTGGGTCTGGGGTGGAGGCAGGCTCTTGACCAGCAGAGCTCTCCCCTTGTTGGTCCACAATCACCTCAGGGATGAGGGCTCGTCCAATCCCCTTTAGGACTGGGCCTCCGTCTGCACAGGACAGTTGGGGGGACCAGTCAGCAAAGAGATCAACTTAGACATGTCTTAAAACATGAGTTCAAGCAATACACACACATGCACATACTCACACACAGTTTCAAACTTTGTAGTGTATACACACACACACACACACACACACCACCTTTACACACTCAGTAAGACACCAAGGATTGCTCACATTATTAAATTTAGTCAATACTGTATATTAATGGTTAAGTAACATTTTTAGAGGTGGAAGCAGTAGGGAGTATCCTTGGTGTGTTAATATTTAAATGCTACAGAACATACAGAATAACAGCAAACGGTCGGTTTAAAGTCTGTTTAGTGGCATGTTAGAGAAAACTGTTAGCAGGCAAAAGCCATCCAACCTCAGCGTCGGGGATGGTGTGGGAATCATAAGCATGTTAGTATTGTTGGACAGCGGGGTTAAAGTGCAGGACAAACACATGAATGTATACTAATGCACATAAACGTGCGTATACAGTATGAGTATTGCAACGATAACACACTGACAGGAGCAAACGCCTGCATTCTTCGTTTCCCCACGCAGACACACAAACATGCAGTGGACACAGAAGCGAGGCCAATGCGTCAGCCAGTCAGATCCTTACCATTACCTGCCTTGCAAAGCTCATCTTAATGGCAGGCTGGCAGCTCAGACATCTGCAATATTTACACACATCCTGTCATGCTTTCAGATCACCACAGATACATTTAGTGTGTCAGGCATTAAGAGACAGTGAAACCAAAAGCCAGGTAGCTAAATACAGTGATGCCCCGAGAGGATGCTGAAATCACTCAATACTGAATACAGTATCAGCAGATGACCAGCGCGTGATTTCAGTCGTTGCAGTGCCTACACAAAGAGATCATGTTAAATGTCACTGAAGCTGTGTTCACAGTGATATTTTATGCATTTTGTCATTATACACTGTGGTTCGTTACATCTGGAGTTATAAAATCCTTTCAGTAAAACACCCACAATACCACTACATACATACATACATACTGGCTGTCATCAGTGGTGGAATGTAACAAAGCACATTTACTCTGAAGTATAATTTGGAGGTACTTCTTCGTTACTAGAGTATTTCCATTTTCTGCTAATTCATACCTCTATCACAATAATTCATTTTGTACTTTTTACTCCTCTTTGTTTATTTGACAACTTTAGTTACTAGCCACACAGTAGTATATAAAGTAATGAGTAAGTAAGTAAATACGAACACATGAATGCATCAATAATTATAATTCAATAATATAATATACATTATTGTGAAATCACCTATTCTACCTAACAAATCCTTTTTCTTTTGGTGCCTAAACTATATTTTGATGCTAATACATTGAAGTAAACTTTTAAATGTAGGACTTTTACCTGTAAGAAAGTAAGACCAAGTTAGGAACTTCAAAAATATTATAATTTTAACTACACTATATTTGTTTGAAAGCTGTACTTATTTGTTACTTTGCAATTTATGATTTATGATATGACAAACTGCTGTTGAGGTTTATCAACTCAACAGTATATAAAGCAATTAATTAGTGGCAAATCAACAAGCTACAACATTAAAATGGCTCTTGAACATTAATGCAATAATAATGTAATGTAGTTATGTAATAATAATAATAACATTTTTTAATTGTGGTATTTCCTCTGAGTTAAGTAAAGGATCTGAGTACTTCTTCCACCATTGACAGTGTTAGATCCTGCTCTATTTTGAGCTAGATGAGTTTCCACTGGAAAAACTTGATCATACAGTAAAAATGTAGTGCACACAAAAACACACACATACACAGAGGGAGGATTCTTCCATCAATATTGCTGTTATAGCTCAAGTACGCTTAAAACTTGTTATCCTTTCCTGCATTCCTGCTGCTTGGCGTGCCTTCATTTTCTTAAATCTGATTTAAAAAAAACTATCGAAAAAAACAGGATTCATGAGACACAAGGGACAAACTGTTTACCTGTTATGATCTTAGAGGCGGTGCTGCAGAGGCCGTTTCCATTGTCATTCGCAGCAGGTTGTGGGGGTGGTGGCATGCTGGGTCGGGGTCGTGGCCTTGGAGCCGGCCTAGAGGGGCGAGGGAGAGATCCAGAGTGGTAGGAAGACAGCGGGTTGGAGTGGAGTCCATCGTGAGGTGGAGTGTCAGGAGGGGTGGGAGTGCTCGGGGGGGAGGGCTCTGGGTCCCCCTGGGCCTGGTGGGGTTGCGGAGGCTGCGGGGGTGGGTGGCTCGGGGCGTGGATTAGGCTGTCTTTGCTCGAGTGGCGTCGGGGTGTGATGGGTGGGTGATGAGGGGAGCCAGGTGTCTGGGTGTTACTGGGCTGCAAGGCGAAGGGGCTGGCCTGTTTCGGCGGGGCTGGGGCCTGCTTCTTGGTGCCTTCAGAGGAAAACATAATTATAACATTATATCAACAATATTAATGTACCAAATGTACATAATGTAATATTATCTCACCTCTGCGGACCATGTGTGGACTAGGCCCCCTGGACCCGCCCTGAGAGTGGGGGGTTCCTACTGCAAGATGGACCGAACCATTCCTCTGGGGAGGTGGGGTGGACATGAGTTCACGGGCTGGGCTGTGGAAATACAATAAATCCAAATGTTAATCCATCAACATGTCATCTACACTCTACATTCAACGAGCAAGTGATGCACCAGTGCACAAAATCATGCATGATATACAGAACAAACTGCACAAACTATCATTCAGAGGCTAATTACACGAGATGAAGGTTATTGAATGAAGAATAACTTAAAGAAAGATTTAAAGACAAGTTTAGAGAAGACGGTACAAGATCAGAAGAAGTTTGTCTAAAAGACTGAACAAAGGTTTGGTAATGTGTTGCATGCAAAATCAAGACGTCAAAAAGGCAGGCGGGAAGGAAGGAAGGCAAGCATGTTTTTAAAAATAGACTGAGTTTGGTAAATCATCACAACAAGCAGGGGAGGGGGGGGACAAAATTTGCCTGTAGACAAAGCATAATGTCATTTTCAATGCATTACAATCTTAATTTGTTAAAATGAAGCCAAATTAAAAGCTGAGGACATTGTTATTCATATGATTTTCCATTTAATGACTTCCAGTATGGGAACTGTGAACTCAAAGACCAATAAAAAACACATGACAAACACAGAGGGTGGGTAGAGCTCCGGATTGGCTGATTGGCTGCGAGCAGGCGGTGGAGTATTGTTGCGACCTCAGCTCGCTCCTTACCTGCTCTCCTCTGCGCTGAGCTGGGTTACAACCTTAGGGTGCATTGTGGCTACCTGGACCCCACCACCCAGACCACCACCACCAACA